CAGGTGAATAAGATGCTTGTGTGATGTTACGTACTCTGAGTGGATATCCACACTGGGCAGGCTTGAAAAATATGCCTGGCCACAGTGGGATTTGAACCTACAACCTTTGGAATACTGGCCCAATGCTCTGCCAACTGAGCTATACAGTCGGGGCAGTTCGAGTATGCGATATTTCGGAACTGAGTCTAGTTCCTTCGATATCAGTGTAATCTAATAACCATGATATTTGTGAATATGATGCTTGTGTGATGTTACTCTGAGTGCATATCCACACCGGGCAAGCTTGAAAAATATGCCAAGCCACATTGGGATTCAAACCGACCTGACCGCATAGCTCAGTTGACAGAGCATTGGCATTTGGGCTAGTATTCCAAAGGTCGTAGGTTCAAATCCCACTGTGGCCAGGCATATTTTTCAAGCCTGCCCGGTGTGGATATACACTCAGAGTAACATCACACAAGCATCTCATTTCATCAAGTTCCTCCAGATATTCATACACTTCCTGTGAAAGAGCCAATTCCAAGTATTTAATCATTTCTGGTCACTTCCTTTCTATTTATGATTGGTTAGTTGCACAAACAACAAAGGTGATTGGTGCATTCAAACCATTTAACAGGAAGTTTACAATTATACTAGGAAGTGTATGAATATCTTGAGGAACTTAATCAAATGAACTGGTTAGCCCGAGGTAATGTATTGAATCAATATTTGAGGAACACTTCAATTGGAACGACAGTGAAGAATTATTAAAAAAAATATTTTATTCAAAAAAAGATTTTCCAAGATAATTGTATAATTACATTTAGTAATAAGAATAAATAATATATTCAATTTCAAATCACAACAAAATTTATTCTTTATTTTTAAACACATACAACACCAATTTAATTAAATAAACTGCTCAACCAATTCTATGCATGTCAATCCCTACTTGATGGTCAGCACCTACAGTAATTATGCTAGCCTAATTTGTACACTAACACAAATAGTCAAAATAAATGTAAATGTAGCAATCTTGGCTTAGCTAAACAGACCAAAATGTGTACAAATAACTTAAAGTTGTTAGCAGAAAAATTAAGGAATAAATTTAACCCATTGAGTGGCGAAGCACCCTATTTTAGTATTTTACTCTGTCTAACGCCAGACAATTTTACTCGTCAAGGGGAGAGCACTGGTGCTTAATGGGTTAATTACCCCTCATGTACAGTATGACCATTAATTGTACTGATAATAAACTGTAAAGATCACAACCAAGCTGACCAAAGCAATCATTAAAGATTGTTGGTACAGCATATGGCTTTAACGCTGGTCTCTGGCTGTAATCCTCCTCAAAGATATCAGCACTAAAATGCTTTGAACACAAACGACTATTTTTCATAGGAACAAACTTCACTGGCATAAGTTTGCTTATATTCTTCACCCATATGCTGTGCAATTCAGGGAATCTCTTCTCATCTGGAAAGCTTTGAAATAAATGAACAATTGTTTTTAGTGTCTAGTTAATAATACACTGTTCAATACGATACCTATAACTTACAATATAAACAATGCCACACTAGACAACACATGGTTTAGTCCACAATAAAGACAATACAATGAGTGAAAGGCTTTGTACTTTATCACATTGTTAAAATTCTCATTTGAAATTTTTTAACATAGCATTATCTGTTAGGATATCGATAGGATTTCATCACTGCATCACATCCATCAACTTGCATAAAAATAAATACTTGCTCGACAACAGCTCCACAAGCTTGTCAATATTTTAAAATTTTGTTCTGCTTTTGCACTGTAGTACACTAACATAAATTGTATTGTATGTTGCTTGCCAATAAATTTCATGAATTCACAATTTTACGCATTCAATACATGCGTTAAATTATTACAAAAAAAGAGATTATACGAGCCTTAATACGCATGTGAGGACAGGTCCTTTCTTTCAGTAGATTTTTGGCAACCAGGAATTGAACAAAAAGTTGGCATGGTTGCAAATGTCTCGTTTCAATATAGAAATTTCCGACCGAAATTTTGAATTTACTATTTTACTCCTTCTGTTTTAAGCAAATTGAAAGGGGGTGTGAATAACTTTTTTCTTCACGTTAGCATTTTAGGTCAGTGGTGTTCACCATAAATTTAGGTTGATTGTGACGTCAAAATGACGTAAATTTGGCCAAAATCCGCCATGTTTTTGGCCACACATTTTTGACTGACGAGGTATTGGAGCACGATCTCCAGATATATTAAGTATAGCTCAGTGATGACCACCCACCGAAACACGCACAGTGACCCACGAACTTTAGACTTCGCTAATGCTTCCCTTCCCCGGGTGTAAATAGCCGGGGGGAATTAGTACCCTCGCACGGCGCTTCGCGCCGTCGGCTCGGGGATTAATTAAACGTAATATGAATAAAACATCATAACGTAATAAATTTAAATTATTGCACTTACTTGTATAATTCATAAGAGCTTGCATTTACAACGATAGTAGCCTGCGAACAGGCCCTGGGTTACGGGCGGCGTGAAGAATAGAGGGCCTGCACGGAACTATAGGTTTTCTTGGTAGTGGCGTTCGTATAGAAACGCAGGCTTCTGATTGGCTTACACTCGTTGACAAAATTACTAAAAATAGCAAATGTCAACAACAGCATTTTGAAGAATTTGAACTTTATTCATTTTAATATTATATATTATAAGACTATTGAACAAATAAAACTAGAAATGGAAACCAAAAGCAATAGCAAAGCATCACAGCAAAAAAGTCTATCATAAATGACTTGAATCTATCGCTTAAATTCAATACTATATATAACAGTACTCTGAACTTCGTCTTCGGATTGACATCGGACTATAGTACTACATTTTGAGGTCGTCGTGGCTTCACGGATTATTCTCATTAGTGAGCAAGTCAGCAAGCGAAGGCATACAAAAGATACCCAAATATGTACGAATAATTATATTGTTGATCCTCGCTGGCATGTCATTTAGATAAATATATATCGTACATTAAACGTTGTACTATTCACTGTATAAACTGCTGACAATTTCGTCGTCGATACGGCTTCCACACTATTGGCACGCTCGTGATTTCGAAGAAATTAATAAATACATGCTCATTTATCATTTATTTAGACCACAGTTAGTAAAATTTTAGACGTATTCGGTATTCCAAATCCTAATCTATCTGACCGTATTTTAGTAATAGCTTCAAATATTCAGAACATTGTTCTTTCAGTCGCACATAGTACAAGTATTAGGGAAGCCTCACATATCGATTTTTTCCACGAGAAACGTCATATGTTCGTTTGGGGGGGGGGTTGGCAGCTGTGACGTTTCTCTGTAAACATCATGGAAAAATTCGATAGTTTTTATCTTTGCAAAATATAAAAAAGAAAATAATTTGATAAAAACAGCAGTCTATACATTCGTAATACCATACCAGCTCTATACCTATACATTTATATTATTACGCCTTCCTTGCATTGTAAACACTCAAATTTCAAGAAAAACGCGCTAAAATTATCAATATTTCAATTTCATGCAAAAAAGTTGTTTTGAGAAATGTTGGAAATTTTGAAGTTCATATTTATAATAAAGAAGAGTATGTCATATTCCTCGCGGAAGCATCGCCAATAGCCGACCGAGAAAAAAAATGTATATAGAAAATTACCTTATTCATGTGTACTATAAGAACAAAATATCGATAAAATGTGTGACGTTTCTAAGGGGGTCTCCAGAGAAACGAACATATGACGTTTCTCATGGACAAAATCGATATGTGAGGCTTCCCTTACTGTACATTCAATGCCAATGGTAGTATTTTATTCGGCTTTATATTTGTATGTGTATTGATATCTATTTAATATTTGAAGAATCTTATATTTTCCCGAGTAATATATTGTGCGGCCCGCTAATGCTTTGTATTATTGTTCATATATACATTATGTATACATTTTAATATTCAGTATTTCTTCGTTGCACAATGTACACGCCTTGCGTCAATTTGACAGTTGACAGTTTATTTATCGCAATCGACGCTGATTGGTTCGCGTTTAGCAGATGCAAAAAGGGGATGATTGAATAAAACGCATGGTTCCGTGCAGGCTCACCTTTCTCCCAGTGAGCCTGTTCGCAGGCTACAACGATAGCTTCAAACAGGGCGCTTGTTCAAATATGGCGAATAAATTGACAAAACGAAAATATTACATGACGTTCCAACGAAAATAACAGAAAGGATTGCGGGCGCAAGCGGAAGGCGAGGGTATAGAAGGGATGAAAGACGACAATAGAAGGGATGAAACAGCGGTAATGCGAACGTGTGATGTGTTCCATAAGTAGCCTGTTCTCTCGGAAAATTCCAAAACGCCTCCTGCCAACTCCAACAACGCCTACGCGCTTAATTAATGAAAATAAAAAATGTTTAGCTATACCGGCTAACTGATGAAATGTTTAAATGTAGCGACCAACGGTTTTTTTTACATTATTTAGTTTTATTATTATTTAGTCATACGTCACGAGAACAGGCTACTTATGGAACACATCTCGCGAAAACGGCTAAGAATGTCCGCTGTTATAAATCACATAAATTACATTGATCAGTGCTTTTTTGGTAATTACTAGGCTTGCTCATGTAAGAGAACATCTACTGAGCCCTAAAAAACCCACAATATCACGTGATATTTGTTTCATCCCTTTGCCTTTTCGCTCGCGCGCCCGCAATCCTTTCTGTTATTTTCGTTGGAACGTCATGTAATATTTTCGTTTTGTCAATTTATTCGCCATATTTGAACAATCGTTCTAATCAATGTTTCTGAGCATATATAAGCGCCCTGTTTGAAGCTATTCGTTGTAAATGCAAGCTCTTATGATTTATACAAGTAAGTGCAATAATTTAAATTTATTACGTTATGACGTTTTATTCATATTACGTTTAATTAATATGTTTTATTCATATTCATAACATAGCTCTTAGTTGGACTCCTTGTGATATATCTTGACAGGCTATGGTATATATGGTATAGATGAAAGGAACCGAGACATGCAATCTTGAACTAATTTGTCATAAAGTTATCATTAGAATTTACTCAACAGTTCAATTCATCATGCCATTATGATCTGGTGTTAATTTGTTAAATTACGACTTTGTGATTGAACAAAGGCATTGTAAATTTGACAACCATGGAAAAACAATTTTTTTTTGCAAATTCCAGATTAACCTTCGGATAATAGAGCAGTCCTCTTTCTTTTTGCCTTCTTTCCTTGCAGTAACATGACCAAAATAGTCATACATGCATAGATTGTGGGGATATCTCTTTATCCCCGAGCCAACGGCGCGGAGCGCCGTTCCAGGCGTAAGCCCGGGGCGAGGGTACTAGTTCCCCCCGGCTATTTACACCCGGGGAAACGAAAGCATTAGCGAAGTCTAAAGTTCATCAATGATCGCGGGCGCTCACCAACGATGTTGAGTGGGTGGTTATCCCAATGGGTCATCCTCACTGATCTCAACAATATGGCTGATTGCTTGTAGGAGTGGGATAAGCAAGATTTCAATTTTAAAAGACATATATTTGGAAAATCGTTTCATATACAACAAGCTTGAAGCAATTTTGTTTGAAATGAGAAGAATTGATTTACTATGGGAAATCGTGAAATATACGGCAAGTTTGCTTTGAATATTTAATGTTTACGCATTTTGTTGCTTAATAAACTTTTTGTCTAAAAACATGAACGGTTTTCCTTTTTAACGAAGCTCTAAGTTTCATAAATTACAGTTTAATTTGAGAAAAAATCTTAAAATGTAAAGGAAAACAAATTGATTTGAAGACTGAACTGAAATTACCTAACAATTTGTTTTATTTGTATTAAACTTATTATGTTTTATTAAGTAGAAACAGTTTATCGACAAATGTAGTTTAGTTGAATGAACATTTAAAAACATTTTACGAAGCATTTCAAGTTAAATTTTACATTAAATCAAAGCTCACAAAATGCAAAATAACATACCTACAGTATATATTTCGGAAATTTATTGTTGTATAGTTAAAAGTACGAATCTTTCAACTGTTTTGCAGTTTTGTACAAAAAATATGAAAAAATTAAAAATTTAAGAATATCGTGTTGTCAACTTGTCATGGCAACAGTTGTGCGCGAGCCTGCGTTCAGTGTTGGCCATTTCTGAATACTTCATGTTAATTTAGTGTTTGGAAAATTTTGGCGAGGGGTTATACTGCATGCATGTATTTCTAGTAGAATAACTACAGTAAAACGCGCAATTTGATTGGTCAGTACCCGTGCAGGGTCAAACAATCATGTACGGAAAATTTAAATGCCTTCGCGCGGGCTTTTTAAAATGTCGTATAATGAAAACATCATGAAGTTAATTGTATATTAAGCGAGAGACAAGTTAGTTTACCCACTCATTCAAAGTTGTCTCCAACTTTGATTAACGTGGCTAGAAAACAATGTTTAGCTACCTTCAAGAAATATGTCTAGGCGGCCACATTGTTTCCTACTTTACTGACCTTGGGGGATCATTGCTATAGGAAATAATGCTAAACCTTTCAAAATTTAATTTGAAGTGACATTTGTACTTCATTTTTCATTACAGTACGACCTTATTTGCGATGACTCCATTCTTCTATCTATCGCTCAATCATGTTTCTGGGTTGGAATGTTGGTTTCCTTGTTGGTTGGCGGTTTTATCTCAGATCGTTTTGGCAGAAGAATTGTTTGGTATTGCGGTGGTGTTCTTGTCCTCCTTGGTACTTGGATTATGATATTTCCAAAATCCTTCGTGGTGTTTATTGTTTGCCGCGTTTTCGTTGGGATCGGTTCAGGTATATAGCCACTGATCTGTAAATAAAAATGAGCCTCTTTTACTTCCCGCACCTCTTTTAATGAGTTTTGGACGATTTTATAAGCACTGGCCAAGAGGATGTGAGGCGGCCTAATTTGAGTTGAGTTGAGTTTAGTTTTAGTTGAGTTGTAGAGTTGTTAAGCACTGGCCAAGAAGACTTGAGGCGGCCTAATTTGATGTTACACTGACAAACTTAGGGAGAAAGGGTGTTGATGACCAATAGCTGTCCAGACAGTATAATTATTCTCATTTCCATTAATAACCTGGGGCCGGTTGTTCAAATTTCAAAACTCAGTTAGTGGAAACCCTGAGTTAAATTTATTCAGCTGTTCTATTTGCGGTGTATTTCTGCGCTTATACCTAATTATCAATCTACAACTTTAGAAATTGAAACTTCAATGATCCACACATTATTTTGGGAAAATTATTTCCAGGTTTATAAACAAGTGGCTGGGAAGTTTGATTTGAAGTTTTTCGTTAACCATGGCCATGGATTAAGCTAACCTGCATTCGAAAAATTGGCCCCTGGATTTGTGAGAGGTCCTTACAAACAACAGCACCCTAGATTCACCTAAATCTTTCTAATATGGCATACACTGTAAAAACAGATTGGTTAAAATAACTAATTTGAATTGGTTGTCTCAGGTGCATTTATTTGACCAATATTTTATTAGTTTAAACTACCACAAATTGGGTCATTTTAACCAATTTTTCCATTGCTTTGAACAAATAATATTGGTCAAAAGAAAATGCATCTGAGACAATCAATTCAAATGGTTATTTTAACAAACACATTTTTACTGTGTATGCATTGGGTTTATTAGTCTATGGTAGATGCATGAATTATCCAATGGAGTCCAGTTTTTATACCTACAGAGATCTACGTTTCCACAGGGTTTCGAAATTGCACTAGTTTTCCCATGCTTACGGAATTCACAGCTGGAAAATATCGTTCATGGTTGGGGATTGGATCCTTCATATTTTGGGCTGTGGGAATATCGATACTGCCCCTGATTGGATACTTAATTCCTGCGTGGAGAATGTTCTTGCTTGTGACAGCTATCGCTGCAATCCCTGTTCTCTTTTACTGGTGGTAAGTTTGGATATTTTGTACGTTTGTAAATTTGCATTGCCTGCGCAACAGGATCTATACACGCTTTTAATAAATCAAAATTCCTCTATCCAAAATCCGCAATTCACTTCATTTTTGCGGCTAGCCCGTTCGCGGGCTAGCCACTATTTAATGCTAAAAGTGTAAGAGTTGTGAAGTTGTGACGAAAATTGTCGACTTTACTTCGGAAACTGTCGTTCATATGGCATGACCTGGGCATGACTCATGAGGCGACGATATTAAATGCCACAGAAAAGGTATCTTAACGCCTTTAATACTGGCAGATCATACTCACTTAGCAAAATTACAGTTGGCAACGCTGGTAGAAATACTCGAAGGAGTTGTTCACAGCAAACGGTAAGTTAATTTTTGTTATTTCAATCGATATTTATGTTTATAATTTGTGAATCTGTCATTTTATAATTATAAAAACATTGCTATTCATATCTGCTCTGGACCCTGCTTCTGGTCAGAGAGATTTTGATCACGCTTCATATAAAGCTTTATAGTGGGTTTATAATCCTGTATATAATCAAACGTGCTTGCATAGATCTTGAATTTTAATATTCCATTATGCGGGTAAGTTAAGAAGCAGGCCCATTGCTGGCATATTATACTACAATTGCCCTGTCAACTTGCAGGTATATAAAACTACAATTAAGGTTACAGGCACCCTTTTTGGCGTTTTGTGGAAAATCGCTACTGCGCGCTCAAAATCAGTCCGATTTTCATCAAATTTTCACCAAATGTTAGCCAGTGCATGCAAAATATGATAAAGTTGTAAAATTGACAAACAATAAAATAATGTAAGAATTATTCAAGAAAATATTAAGTCGCGGTACCTTTACGCTTTTGAGTTATGTTCCTGCTGGTTTTACGATATATTTATGAAAATATCATTTTTATACAGTAAAATAGTTGTTCTAAAAAATTATGTTCGGAAATTTTTGTTTACTTCGTCATTCCGCTGATATGGCGATTTCTTTGACGACTGCAATATATTTCTGAATTGTTTGTGTGAATTGCTCCTTATTATTAAAATATCCAAAATTAGAACAAAGCCGAACACACTTTTGAAACTGACGTCTTTAGCTATGTCCTGTGAAAATTTGAGAAAAATTCGTTAAAACCCGCTGGAGCACAACTCGTTTAAAAATCAGTAATTGGCGTAAAATTCTTCGCGAGAAAATTGAATTTGAATATTACATTTTCAATGTTTTTCTTATTGCAAGCGAAATGTATTTTATTAAATAACTCTGCGAGTTTTCAACATTTTTCGTCCAAACTTGGTCAGATAGTAGAACTAGTCTAATGCTTTCATGGAAACCAATAAAAAAATTTAGGCAAAATTAACACTCAAAGGTGTTCTGCAACCTTAACACAGAAAACAGGCTGGACTATTTTATACTACTATAGTTTATAGTAGTCACTGACATCACTCTAACTGCCAGGGCCGTATAGCTAGACCGATAATTGGGGGTATATTCATATTCATCCCGGCGGATTTCTTTTGAAAGCTATTGTTTTTACGGTATGTGAACATGAAATGAATATGCTACGGCCCTGCTAACTGCAAATTAATGGGTGATATTGTTGAGATCTATTGTTCAAGGATTGTGCAATAGAAGCTCAGTCTGTTTACGTAAAGTTGAAGGATCTTGTAGATGGAAATAATTGAGTGAAAATGTATTTACATTCATTAGACCCAAACAGGAACAGCTGCGAAAAATGCAACTGTAGGTGCAGTTTATTTTTGGATATCTGGTCCAGATGTAAATAATATCTGATCTAAGATGAGCAGGGACGTAGCGATAGGGGGTGCGGGAATGTAAACCCCACAACTGTGAAACTCAGGCAATATTCAAGTTTAAATTTTGACATTTTCAGGTAAAATTTGCGTAATAAAGTCGTTATTTTTGTGAAATGATAACCATTTTTGTAAAATACAATCAATTTTGATCGATCCAATTCGTTTGCGAATTTGCTTTAGAAAACACCACAAATGCAGTTCTGGAGCTTCAAAAATGTAAAACTTTTCTGGGGGAGGACCCACACACCACATCCCCTTTTCTTAGGAAACTTAGTATGACAGTGGAAATCAATCAGAAAAAGCTCTATTATAATTATTACGCTTCAGGTAGATTGTTAACATTGAAGTTCAGATTTCAGGTAAAATCCTCCGACAACCCCCGAACTTCAGATGCTTTGCTACGTCCCTGAAGATCAGTGCAATTACCATACAACACTGACCCTTGCAGTTGTGAGGGTATATGAAAAAGCAAACCAACAGCCATTGTGCTGAGATCATATCGGCAACCTTTCTTTTCAGGCATTGAACAGCAGTATTAAATTAAAAACTTTTTTTTTAATTCATTAAATTTAAATACCTGCATTATTTACGATATTTCAGTCTTGTGATCTGCCAGTAAATAGACCTTATTCATAACTCGCAATCGCGGACTTGTATCCTAGGAGACGGGAATAAACGCGGGAAAACAAGCGAAGACTACTTGACAAGCCAAACTCACTGACAGGTGCTATTGTGTCGACTTTAACGGCTTGTTTCTTGTTGCTTATTTCGATTTTTGTGTGTATATTTTAAGACTTTGTGCCTACAACGAAAGCTGCAAAGGAATTTATTATAAAAACGACCGGTTTTTCGTTTTTTGTAGCGAATATGACAATGTAGCGATGGTGTTTTTCCAGACGCAAAAAACAGTATTTACTGAGATTTTAACGTCAATATATAAGTTATTCCGTGAAAAATAGAGACAACTATGGAATGGAATGGAAGTATAATTATTGGAATTTGACATTAATATGAAAGAAAACAAGAGGTCAAAAATCACAAGAGAACAGGGCGCGAAATAACAGCCGGTCAACGGACAATGTCCGGCCAGAATACGGAGTTGTCCGGTCAAATTCTTACCTTGCCGGTCATTTTGACCGGTCACTTTCGGTAAAAGAACAAACTAATCTTCATTTTAATTAATAATCAAAATAAAGTTAAGTACAGTATTATAATTAAGAACCATAACATGCATGTTGTCGAATATTTTGCGGGAAAAGAACTTTAATGTACACCAGTTTTCCCGCGCGGTACGTCACAAAGCCCATGGCCATGCTTTTAAGAGTTAAAGCCATGCGTTTAGTGCAGTGCAAGCTGTTTTATGTTTTTAATTACTGATTACAGTAGGGCTTTTTGTAATGCTATACTGGGAAAATAGTCACATTTTTAGGGGTATACTTTACTAGGCTTTGCTTTAAGCTGAATAATTTGACCGGCCAGAAATTCGGTATGTCCTAGCCTGTGTTCCAGTCCACTACACCGAACGGTGTAGTGGACTGGAACACAGGCTAGGTATGTCCGAGCTAAAATTGAGTTGGCCGGTCACCTTGACCGGCAACCTTCCAGCCGTTATTTCGCGCCCTGCAAGAGAATGCTAAATGTTATTGATTCGTACGGAAAAAATATAAACTAATTATAGGTCCTCGAATCAAGACGGAGGACTCATCAATATTTCTACAGTTTCTCACTTGAATAAATTTATATTTATTTGCATCTTCAACAATCTGTTGTGCGTCGATTTCTTTTTTTGACAGGTTGATACCAGAGTCTCCTCGATGGCTGTTATTAAACGGTAAAGAAGAAGAAGCTAAAATAGTTCTTGCCAAAATTTCCAGAATGAATAAACGACCATTACCAGATGATCTTGGACTGCAAAAACCTGTGATACCTGAAACACGAGCAAGTTTTAGGCAAATGTTTAGTAGCTGGGAAACTGCTAAGAAAATCCTGATTTGTTGGGATTTATGGTATGACTACTCGGTGGTTTTTTTCTCCTTTTCTTGGTGCATGGCATTGTTATTGCATGACAAGTAATTTGTATATGCAAACACAATTATGTCACTCTACAGTGTGTGTAAAAGAAACTGAACCCTTTCAAATTCAAATTAGCTATAAGGTATTGTAGTAATTTGACAGCTCTATAATTGCTTTAAAATAATGGTTGGATAAGAACACTCGGTCTTGTACTCATGGGACAAAACTCAAAGAAATAAAAAATAGAAAATTTAAAAGAAATACAGTATTCCTTGTGTTCTTACCCAACCATTAATTCAGGCAATTAGAGCTGTCAAATTACTACAATACGTTATAGCTAATTTGAATTTGAAAGGTTCGGTTTTGTTTTATACACCCTGTATACAATTCGCTACTCTGATTTAATGGCCATGCATGCACTAACAAAGGCATGAATAACTTGATCGGTACTGAATGTAATTTGTGCGGAAATTGCATTGCATTGTTTTTTGTTTTGTCAAATTACAGACCTTTTGATTTGTTGTTTTCCCTAATAGCCAATCAGAGGCTTTGTTTACTAACAAGGCCCGCGAATTTTTGAGCTTGTGGACGGTGCGAAAATCGGAACATTTTTGTGCAATAAAAAGTGGCGAATAAAAACTGGTCTCCATGAACTCATAAACTTTGACCATCTGCAATACATACAATTTATACACGTAAAGCACATTCAATCGATTTGCTAGTAGTAAAAATATCTTGCTCTCCTTTAAATTTTCATGCTTGTTGTTTATATAAAATAGGTTAATTTAAGAAACAAACACTGAAATTAAATGGAACACAGTGCACAAGTAACCCATTACTTAAAGTAACAGATACATAAGCAAACTAGAGGGCGCTCGAAGACTGCGTACCGCGTCAGGGAATTAGGAGGCCCACAAAGGGGTTATGACCGACAGGCGACATTCCTTAAAAAGAGGCGACAGACTATCTAAAAAAGAGCGACAAACGACAGCTTCTGGACTGGGAAAAAGCGACAAATTGCGATTTGTGTTATGGGTCAAAAGTGACAGCGACATTTATTGCAATAAAACAAGCGATAAAGCAGCTACAAACTTAGTGACAAACTTGTTGCACCCTTGGTGGGCCTCAATTAGGTTATGTGTCATGCATACTATTGTACAATGGGCTTATTACGCATCCAGTAATGTCCACTAACGGCACTAATTTCTGTGTTAATACGTGCCATGTTTGACTTATTGTGCTGATAGGCATACACAGACATACACATAAATACATAATCTTCTGGCGAAGGCAATCAAAAATTGACCAACGATATCCTGCTTCTTGCCGTGCCTTACATGTTACGATGATCGATTTCCCATCATGCATATTTCTCTTTTCTTCAGAGATAATAAGAAATTGTTTAGCGTTGCTGTATTTTATCGCTAGGTTTGCCAACGCACTGGTTTACTATGGTGTGTCTTATGGTTCTGTTGATCTTGGTGGGAATAGATATCTGAATTTTTTTTCCGTCTGTGTCGTTGAAATACCTTCAAATTTTGCTTTTATTTGGTCAGCACACAGGTGAGTAGAGAGGACATCTTAAGGCGGATTTCCAGTCCTCGCACGAAGCTCCTCGCAACTCGCTGCGAGTGCTTGCATCTAATTAAAATGAACTATTTAGCATTGTGATTGGATGAAAGTGCTCATGCATCACTTGCAGCGAGCTGCGAGGAGCTTCGTGCGAGGACTGGAAATCCGCCTTAAGGGTGCTTTCGTTTGCAATGTCAATTAAGGGATCAGATCAGAATTTCTGTCTGGAAATCTGCCTGGTCAAAATGTATATAATTATTTTCCCCAAAACATATTATTTTCCTCGGGCCAACGGCGCGAAGCGCCGTTCCGGGCGTTAGTCTTGGGCGAGGGTACTAATTCCACACGGCTGTTAACATCAGGGAAAAGGAAAGCTGCTAACGGTTTCAAAAGTGGGGTAGTGGGTGGTCATCATATACTGATCTCAAAATATCGCGGACTGCCATGCAGCTGTGGAATGAGCCAACTGCGAAGACTTCAAGACAACATATGGTAAAGTCGTTTCATACGATGAGCTGTAAGGCGATTTTTAAATCTTACTTAAATTTAAAGAAATGATGGAAGAAATGTAAGATGGGAAATGATGAAATATAAATTAAGTTTGTTTGGTATTTTTTTCGTAAACATGTACGTTGTTTTCGGGTTTTCGACTTGCCTCCAATAAATGATCCTATTTTATAAAATGCTTAAATAGAATTAAAAAAAGTAAAATTATTTCCAAGAGCGAACTGTACGATTTGAATTGATTTCGTTGCAACTAATAAGAAGACCAAGTTATATAGTTAATGTTAAGTATAATTTATATGAACATTTTATGAGGCATCCAAAATTGAATTTTACCTTAAATTGAAGCTTGTATAATGGAAAATAACATACCTACTTTATATATTTTAGAAATTGATAGTTCTATAGTTAAAAGTGTTATGCTTCATTTATTTTTTTCTTCATTTAAAAATTTAAAAACAAAGATCGTGTTGCCATGGCTAACATGATGCGGTAGCGCGAGCCTGCGTTCAATATTGGCGTATGTTAGAATACTTCATGTTAAAACAATAGTTTAGGGAAGCAAATGCGAGAGGTTGTTGCATGCATGTATTTCTAGCTAAAACTTTACAATCTTGCACAATGTGGCCGTCGTCCCATGATTTACTGGGCCCGTGCCGGCGCAGATCATCCAAATCAAATAATACCAAAATAATGAAAATGTGTCAGCAACATGACTGATAACTGACAGGCAGATTTTCTTTAACGCCTTCGTTTTTGGACTTGGTTGGAACGCTTTTGCCCTTGAGTCTAACGCCTTAGGTTATCTTGATTTAACTATTAAACTTGACAATTCAATGGATAAAGATGTATAGTGGTCCTTCCTTTCCTACATTACCGGTCTTAAGTACGTTGACTCGAATTAATCGCTTCTTGCCTCGAATTAGTCCCCCCTTCGAATTACTTTCTCAACTAGTCGTAATTTCTAAAGTCCTCTGCTCTTCTCTTCACCGTGTAGAAGCTTAACATCACCAACGGTTATATCCGGATCCCTGCCAGTCGATTGACTATGTCTATCTCGTAGTGCTCTAATGTACAATGATGACCGTCGTTTCCACATTATCTATACTTATACCGTTTTAGATGCCAAATTTACTATACCATTCCTTCGGCTTTATCTTGTTCAAGAGTCAACAATAACTTATTTCAATTCCGACAATACTAGCTTCTTTCGGTTGTTTGAAGGTAAGGTGTGCGTTCACAATGGCTTTCCTGAAAAAGTTCTTCATGCGTCAAACCATTCGCCGTCAACCATCCGCCCTTCATTATCCCTTGCGAGTTTAAACTGCAAATAGACTTTTCGCCGACCAAGGTAATTAATCGTTGGCCACTTGACTGTATTTCAGATTTTCAACCACTTTATCTGCAAACCTTTGTCTGCAAACCTTTCCTGTTGTCACTAACAATTTTATCTCCAGACTTTAGTTTAGTTATTCTTCTGTCATGCAATAAGTGGTTAAACCCCTATGCTTACAATTTTGGTTTTGTTTCCTTCATGCATCTGTGGAAATCTAGTTAATCTTGTTATCAACTACAGATCCATTGAATCTCCAGGCAACTTTGCACTTTCTTGGTCCTCATTAAAAACCTGAATTGTACGTCTTCTTACTGCAAATCTTACCTTCGTAGTCGTCCCGTTTTTCTTCTTCCTGTTGTTGAATTCGTTTCAGAATCTCTCCTTCTTCAGCTTCAATAACTTATCTTTTCCCCTTGCTCTATCACCGTCAATCCCTTATAAAATTCTTCTGCTTCTTTCAACAAGCTCTAGCTACGTTCATTTAGGTTGCCCATTCACTGCCCGAATCAAGATCCAGAGACCGCCAATTTCTTTCGTATATTGTGATTTCACTGTAAAATCGTGCTGGAATCGTCACCATTCTTTTGAGAGTAAATGCACTTGAAACAAATTAAAGCGGATTTAGAACTGTACAGAATTTCGTTTTTGAAACCGAATAACCTCGCAGAACATACTCGCTGTCTTCATGATTCATCGGTCCCTTGTCACTATTGGGCGCCAATATCAGACAGTAGTGGACGACTTGCCTGGACGAGATGCATAATAATCCACTTTTAAGTTTATCTTTTGTGATAATGTGAGCGTCCAATTTTAGGAAGCATGAATAAATCGCTATCCGATGAAATTAAAGCGTTATTCAACCTTCCTGCAACCGCTCCCAGGGTTAAAATTCCAGGGTTAACGCTAATGCATGGTCACCACTTGTAAAAACTGATCCTGGAGGATCCTGTACCACTATAAATCATAGTCATTTTTATCTTAGATTTGGTCGTAAAAAGTCTGTCATTACTGCTATGATTATTGCCTTAGTTGCATCTGTTATCGCAGCGGCAATTCCGACAAACCAAAGTTCGGGTAAGCAAGTGAAGATTAGTAATATATACTTTGGCTCGAATACAAAAATGTATGTAATTTTGTTTTCTACTGTTGCCGATGTCGGTTGCCAAACTCCCTATTGCTATAGGTAATAAGTAATATACATTTATTCATTTATCATGGTTTCGAGCGCAATTTGGATGAAACATACACGTCGAGTCAGTTTTTCAAAGAGCAGCCAGCCTATATTACGTGTTAATATATATCTGATAATATTGCTTTTACCTTTTTATAACATGGAAAAACTAACAAAGCTTTGTTAGTTTTTCCATGTTATAAAAAAGGTAAAAGCAATATTTTCCACCCGAACTCAACTTTTACTTTATGTGGCGCGGCCGCTATGTTTAACCTGATTTCCCAGTTTATAGGATTTATCGGATTTGTTTTTGCAGCCAGTGTTGGTGGACGTGTTACAGTAGCCATCATTGCAAAATTTTCCATCAGCTTCTCCTTTTTTGGTGCCTATTTGTGGTGCGTTGAGCTGTTTCCAACTGTAATAAGGTAAATAGTTATGAACAGGGCCGTAACTAGACGCGGTAATTGGGGAGGATGCATATTCATAAATTCGTGTTTTCCCGACGGATTTATTTTGAAAGCGATGGCTTTTACTGTATGTGAACTTGAGTATATGAATATACAACCCCCCCCCCCCCAATGATCGCGTCTACTCACGGTCCTGGTTATGAATCTATATAAATGTCGTTCTAATACGCCAGAGCTAATTAGAGTCAGTGAAGGTATCTAGCCTGCCTCACTGCAGTCATTTCCGCGTGCAAAAGGCGGGAGTTTGCCATAGGTGGCGGAACGGTGGGTTCCAAAGATTCTGAGAAATTTATAAATAAAAGTTGGGCAAATTTTGAGAAAAAATTCAGGAAAGATGAAAGAGAACGGGGTGGGTACGTGCATAAAAATATCAAGCAGGAAATAGTAAATTTGTTCGGTCAGGAAAATCCACTCCCCGGCCCGAAAGAAACTGTTTGGCCCGCCGCCACTGGTGTTTGCCACAGACTCTGTCCAGTTCTGGGTTCTCTGACCAATTATTTCTTTAGTTTTTACTTTATTTTTATTCTACAGGTCAACTGCTCTTTCTACATCATCGGCAATGGCACGAATTGGATCCTTTTCTGCTAGTTATATAATTTGGCTTGTAAGTTAAATAGTTCATTTTTAGAACTATTTGTGCAATATTCGTTCATTCTTTTAAGTACTATATCCAACACGAGTAAAATTGTTCTGATTTCTAACCTCTGATTTCTAAATACAGACAAGCAGGTTGAAATACGAGGCGAAGCCGAGTTTTTTTAACCAGCTTGTCTGTACTTAGAAATCAGAGGAAGAACATTTGCGAGTGTTGGATATAACTTCTCAAACGAAAATCGAGTTTAATTAAAGTTGATGAAAAACGGCTGTAATCTTCCTCTTATTTCTAAATACAGATTTAATATGCATTTCTTTTGCATTTCATTTATGAATTATTAATGAGTTTGAGAACTGGTTGTCCACTTTAGAGGTCTTTAAGCAAAGTAAAACACCGAGCCAGTTTCGTAGTCAAAATTATTTTACTACTTTGAAGTTTGAAGAAAAGTACGAAGCTTCGCAACACGTTTCATGATGTTCGGGTCATGAGGTGTATTTCGTATGATTGTTTTCCGCATACTGGTAAATAATTAATGAGTTATCGTGATTGGTTGTTCATGAATTCTTAAGCAGATTTAAAATATCTTTCCAGATTCGCATTCATGCGGCACTGCCATACAGCATAATGGGAGCAATATGTCTTCAAGCAGCTGTACTTGGATTATTCTTACCAGAGACAAAAGGTACACCAACCTTGGAGACCATGGATGACATGAAAAAAGATAAAGGAGTCGCTTTACTTGTGAATGGCGACGGTAAAGCTGACAGCTAGGAATGAGAATGACAGGAACGATAGTAGAACTCTAGCTGATCAAATTGCTGCATGGGAAAGGCTTAGGCAAAAGAATAAAAATTCGGTAATTTGCATTTAAAGATGACTCGCGAGGTTAAATTTGTATTGCAATATTTGAAAGAATTGTCAAATGGCTAGACCACTTAATTTTCTTGATATTCTATATAGCTGTGCTCACAATGAAGTCATACATCAATTAAATAGACAGGCGCCGATAGTTATAATTATTGTGTTTTTAGCCAATAAAAAGCTTTTTAGCTCAAAGGCGTGCGAGAGCGGGATGTGTTCTCCAGTCAGTTAATCGGGCAGATTCTCCTTTAAAGTCGGGCAATCTGGGACTATCCTCCATTTCAGCCTTTTGAGTGATGTCGTAGTTATGATCGGACATGGCGATCGGACATGTATTCACAGTCTTGTGTTGTTGTACAAAATTTGATATACTTATTGTACAACAATCCCATCAAACAAAATAGTGATGGATTTTATAGTGATCGTAGACCACTCTATTTCAAAACCAAGAGTTCTCTATCAAACATAAATCCCGATGGAAATGGATTGTACTGGTGTTATGGTCAAGATAGGTTATTAAAACGACGTCTTGGCTCATTAACTATGTTATTGTCCAGCTTTATGCAAGAATTTGGTCCTATCTCGTCACGTGTGTATTGTATTTTCGCTCAAATAACCAATAACAAGTTTGTGGTTGAGTTATCCATCCGTAACTTGAACAAATGCTCAATTTAAACATTGCTATTGGTTGTGCGGGAAAAAATACAATACACACGTGACGAGATAGGCCCAAATTCTTGCATAAACCGAAGCCAACATAGTTAATGAGTTATATTGTACTTTCATCGAGTCTCCAAACCATGTATTCTATTAACTGTGTTTTAATCTAATTATTTCTCAACTCACACTGGGTGGTAAGTGTTTGTATGGATAACTTTAATAACTAAAACTCAACGTATAAATTATAATTTATGTTTCTCAATAATTCGCGCACACTTCTCTCATCAGTCTCATGCACATGTTCTGTCCCGTCATGCAATTCGCGTTCTATACCTTTCTATCCTAATCATGTTCATAAATATCCTACACTCCCCCCCACCCGTTGACCATGACTTATGACTTACAATGGTCAACTTAACAGTTTCATAACTAAAGTAACTAAAGTTAACAACGCGTTAATGTCTATAACAGGGGTGGAAAAAGTATCGGAACCTGGGAACCTAGTTCCCAGAAATTTTTTTGAGTTGAGAGTTTTGCAGAAAATTTTCCAGAAAATGTTTCAACATTTTGAGATAACTCTGTTTACTCAACTTACAAGTTACAACTATTCTACTTTATTTACACTGTACAGTGTACACACTAACATCATGCAGCAGCAGCCTTTTAAATATTTGACAGAAATTAATTCTGTTACCCACCCCTGCCATCATAATGAGGTAAAATGGTAAATATACGGCAGGTCTTTTCCGCGGGTGGCGGGTGCATGTTGGGTGACATTTTGCGCCAATACATTGTTGATATTTCAGTAACTAATTAACGTTTCGTTTGGTTTTTTAAAATAGTTTAGGTTAAAATATTTTATTAATCAAGGCCTCTACGTCAATTGATTCCTTTGTATATGAAAGTTTGGGTGTTGTGTGTGTGAAAGTTTTCTTATTCTGAACACTATGTTCTGAAGTATCATGACTCTGTGAATGTCAAAAGTATACCGCTTGTGTGTTGGTTACATGTATGGGGTTTGTTCCAGTCTGAATTCGATGACCACTGGCATATATATGGTCGAATCAAGCAGGATGACTTGTAACCGCCAGCTATGCAGCGTATAACTCTACGACTCTATCAATTACTTAATATTAACTTCTGTTTAATGGTAATTGTGTTAAAAGTGTGTTATTTGCGTTTACATTTTGTTAAACGCAAAATTTGGATTGGCTGTTAAACAAATTGTTACTCGAACAAAAACACCCTCTACTAAAACGCCAAATACAAACGGATAATTGATATTTATTTAATAAAGAAAGGAAACAATAATTTATTAATAGCTAATTAACCTGAATGCTTGGACACGAGTATACATAATATACATGCCACACCCTTATCACAGGACAATGCCTCAGCAAGCCTCCACAGAGGATTGCGGGCTCAGGGTTCGAGATTGAGGACAATAGAGTCAAATGAAAAGTTGAACTATGAGGTAAGTTAAGCATTAAATCTACTATAGATTTAATGCTTAATTGCAGGTATTGTCCTGTGATAAGGGTGTGGTATGTATATTATGTATACTCGTGTCCAAGCATTCAGGTTAATTAGCTATTAATAAATTATTGTTTCCTTTCTTTATTAAATAAATATCAATTATCCGTTTGTATTTGGCGTTTTAGTAGAGGGTGTTTTTGTTCAAGTAACAATTTGTTTAACAGCCAATCCAAATTTTGCGTTTAATGAAATGTAAACGCAAATAACACACTTTTAACACAATTACCATTAAACAGAAATTAATATTAAGTAATCGATAGAGTCGTTGAGTGATACGCTGCGTAGCTGGCGGTTACAAGTCATCCTGCTTGATTCGACCATATATCAGTGGTCATCGAATTCAGACTGGAACAAACCACATACATGTAACCAACACACAAGCGGTATACTTTTGACATTCACAGAGTCATGATACTTCAGAACATACCAGTGTTCAGAATAAGAAAACTTTTACACTCGCAGCACTCAAACTTTCATATACAAAGGAGTCAATTGATGTAGGGGCCTTAATTAATAAAATATTTTAACCTAAACTATTTTAAAAAATCAAATGAAACGTTAATTAGTTAATGAAATATCAACAATGTATTGGTGCAAAATGTCATCCAACATGCACTCGCTGCTCGTCACCCGCTACCCGCCACCCGCGGGAGATACCTGCCGGTGAATATATGCTCTGCAAAGTCTCCAATAAAATGCAAATTGAATAGTAAACATGTCCCAGCGCTATAATGCTATTATTATACTGCTATATATATAATGCTATTATAATACTACTGGGTGGTGCAAAAAATGCCCTGTTTGATTTATTTTAACTTAACAACTAAAAGTGCTACCTAATCTATGTGCATTGTATTCAGTATTGTCTAACTTAAATTTTTATTTTCACCCCGTGTGCATTTTCGTGCAATCTTGACAGAGAGAGCTGCGTTTAAACTTGAATAAACATTTTGGGAAGTGTTGAGAATTAGCTAAAAACGGCCTGTTAAACTAATTTGATAACTGTTACCATTTTATCGTAAATATTCGTTTAAATGAAATGAAGTTTAAATTGAAAATGTTTATTGACGAATGTGCTCTTTTATTTTTGTTTTAAGGTCTTTGCGAATGCATGAAAATTAACGTGATTTTGATTAAAATGGAAAGCAAATTCTAATATTCCAAGAACGAAACGTCCCATGTTTTTCGATATGTTTAGAATATGTAAGGGTAAATATAATGCTTGTGAGGTTATACTGGCGGCATTGGTCAGGTCTCTGAAAACGAACATGTACTTTCTGACTATAGTGTGTCTAAACACAGGTTATTGCTGTATTCATATTTGATAGGCCGTTTTTGGCTAATTCTCAACACTTTCAAAAATGGTTACTCAAGTTTAAACACAGCTCTGTTGGTCAATATTGCACGAAAATGCACAGGGCATATATTAAAATTTAAGTTAGACAATACTGAATGCAATGCACATAGTTCACGTGTAATAGCCCTTTTAGTTTTTAAGTTAAAACAACTATAATAAATAATAATAAATTAGAATAATACAGTACATTAAATTTAAGTAGAATAAATTAATTTAATACAGACACGCACTCAGACTATGATACATTTTATACCTTTAAACTGTAGTATATAACAGACAACCATTGCGATGCACAAGCATAAAAAATCAGCCTAAAGCCTATTATTAAAGTACAAATAATACAATAATTATGCATTTGTTTTGTCACCTCTGTAATTGTAACATTGCAAATTTCACAGAAAATTTTTAGCCTTTGACCTAGGTTCCCAGAAAGAAAAAAAAAATTTCCGCCCCTGGTCTATAAATTTCCTGATTCAATGAGTTCCTGTCTCTTCCTATCCTAAAGTATAGGGCAAGTTTGTTTCAATTGTTTATGTATGACTTTGTATTAAAGGGGCAATGTCACCGATTTTTGACCTAAAATACCGTTTATTCAAAAACTGAACTACAAAGTTAAAAATAAACATTGTAAATGGATTAAGTTATGATATATGAGTCATATTAAACAACTTTGAACTTCCACGAAACATGTAATATGACATTTTCATAAAAAATGACTAAAACTTGAAAAGTGTCTGCCAACAATTAATCAAGATGCCATTTACAATCCATCTCAATCCTGGCGTAATCTTGCCCATCCAGACTTCTGTACATGTTTTTTGTGTCTGTTATTGCTTTATTTTGTGCTTACACTCATTCTTTTTCAGTTTTGGGCAAAATTTGCAAGGGTTGGAATTGCCCAAAAATCGGTGACATTGCCCCTTTAATGTGGACTTTGTTCTTGATGTTCAAGTATTTCCTATGCATTGGGCCATTTAATATAGGCACCCCCCCCCCTATTGAGGGGTCCCTTCATAATCCCCTTAGGATATAAAAAATTTAGAACCCCCTTGGATGCGATTTTTGGAAGTTACCCCATGGATTTCTTTATACCCCCTTTAGGATATCGTTTTTACCCCCTTGGATATCACTAAAACACCTAATTTTTGCTATTTTTTGGAAAATTTCTTAAGCTACCCTCTAGGAAATTTTAAGGTAAAAAAACCCTCCCATCCCATAGGATTTCCAGACCCCTCAATAGGGGGGGGGGGTGCCTATATTAAATGAAATGGCCCATTGTTTGCGAACGTTTCTTAGTTAAATTAACCTTTGTAGAAGTTCATTATAAAAAAGAAAGCAAATTATTTTCATTGGCGTCCTGTACGAATTAAATTTATTTCCTTTCAAAGTGAGAGTATTAATAAGTAGAAGTTTGAGTTGAAGAGTTCATATAAATATCGGGAAAAAGCAGCTGATTTCAATTCACATTTAAAAACGTTTTACCCAGAGATTCGTTTTGAATTTTACATTAAAATAAAGCCCATAGAAACCAAAATAATATACCTACTTTATATATTTTAGAAATTGATAGTTCTGTTTAAAAGTGTTCCAGTTTCATCTATTTTTTGCAGCTTTGCACAAAAATTTAAAAAAATCGTGATTCGTGTTGCCACAAAATAAAGAATAGGACCAGAAGTTCCAGAAGTCTCACTCGATGTCGGAATCTTTGCAATCTGGATCGCAGGCTCGGGGAACGAGATTGATGTTGAGACGGCCTATCGTTGTCATTTAGCCAGCACAATTACCGGTCAGCAGTATGTTTAAAAACATTAAGAAAATTCAAAGATGGCGGACTAGAAAGCCAAACGTTCGTGGTGCACCTCACAATCGCACAGTATGACAGACCGCATTCGAAACTCAGATTGGGAGGAAGACGGCAACTTAAGAGGTGACCTCCAGAGGTATGTGATGGAGAACCTTCGTCGAAAAGAGGTCTTGGACTTTGTCAAGAGAGATTACCCGCAATACGCGTGGAATTTGGGAACCCTTGATCGAAGACTAAGCCATTTCGGCATCCAATATATAAAGTATGACACTGATTTTCAAGAGGTGGAAGCGGCCGTTCGCGAAGAAACTAATGGACCAGGTCAGTTACTCGGTTATAGAGCAATGCATAAGAAAATCCGGGAACAACACCAACTGGCTGTACCAAGAGATTTAGTATATGATGTGATGACCTTGGTCGACCCAGAAGGTTTAGAGCGCCGAGCAAACGTTGGAAAGAAAAAACGACATAGAGGACCTACAGGCACATTCACTTCTATGGTATTTATTATACATTCTTATTAATATATAATAATTGCAGAAGTATTAGCATTTTATTTCGCCATTTACGCGTTTCCAATTTATTCCATCCTGAGACTCATTCATAAAAGAAAATAAGCAATAGTTATCAATCAACATTTTCACAAGCATACAGAGTGACAGAGAGCATTCCGTTTTTACCCTATCCCTGAGCCATATATTTCTATTGTTATTTTGTCCCTGAGCCATATATTTTTATTGTTATTTTGTATGTTAATCTTAAGTGTTAAAGTGTAAATATTATATTTCAACATTTTAAAAGGGTGATCATGACAACCCGCCCCCACCCCCGGCAACAGCATATAATTGTGCACTTGTAATTACAGCATTGCAGTCAGCAAGTGCCCAGTTAGTGTGGTGTCAAACTTGAAAATGTTTGACAATGTTGAAAAATATTGAGACATGAAGTACTCAGAACTTCACTAAGAAGAGGATAAGATGAATGCTTTCTTCCAAGAACATATGGAAGAACTTGTGAGATATATTTCCTTAAAACTGAAAGTGTGACGAGGTTGTTGTGTAAGCAATTGTCAATAGACAGGAAGGTAGGGGGAGGGGTACAGCACATCAAACTCAAAGTAAATAAACTGTAATTGATATTTTTCATTTTTTTCTTTTCTAAGGAGACCTAACCACACACACTCAGGGGATGGCCATGATAAGCTCATGGATTTCATGAGAGACACCTTTCCCCTGGCTGTGTATGGATTACAAGACGTGTTCAGTGGGTTTATTTTGTATTTAAAACTTTGGACATCAAATTCTGATCCTCGGTTAATAGGGAGATGGTACTTGGAACATATTTACAATTCAAGAGGTACTGTACAGTATAAAATTATGTGCTGAATTTACTCATTGCACTGGCCACAGCGACTGTCATAGAATGCCCTTGCTGAAAATGCTGTCTTTTTCTGGGGGTTTTTTTGGTTGTCTCAAGTGACTTTCCATTGCGGCATTGTGGGCTCAGGATTGTGCAATTTATCTAAAACATGCTCACGCTGCTTAGGAGCAATTCTAAACAATGTTATACAGAACGAATCTCGTATTTAACTATGTTACAAATCTTAGACGCTGTAATTGTGGGACATATTTTATTATATTTCACAATTTTTCTGTTTTTCGATATGTTATCGCTGAACTCTGTTGGTTTTGTATGGATTTTTATTGTGCCATCCGTCGTTTCAACCAATATTTGTCTATAGATTATTCCAGCAAAAGTTCACTTTTTCTTGGGATTACAATTTATTTAATATGACCTGCAACATTAGATAATTTTTCTGTTTTTATTTTTGGAATAAAGTGATAAGTAAACACCTTAGATTGGACAAGGGAACTGAAACTGGTCATATGGCAACAATCCATGGCTTTCTAAGTAAGGGTCATGAAGATGCTCAAGATCACCAGCCTGAGGATACAGTTCATTTTGACCCTTCCACTAGCAATAAGGTAAAAATGTAAGAAATGATTACAATTTTTTTTATTTTTAGAATATAAATTTTTCTAATAAACCCTTCAAGAAAGCGTGCAGTGACTAAAGCCACAGAGCCTCATTTTCATGTATGTGACATTAATTAAATCATCACATCTCAATTGTGAATGTGCAGCTAAAAGCCAAGGTTATGCACTTCCTGGAAGCATATATTACCACAACAGCACCATTTTCTAAAGTTAGTAAAGTATGGACAAACTATTTGCTAGTACTTCATAGTATGTAACTATATAGTTAACCTGTGTGCTTCTGTAATATTGTTACATACTAGAAAATACATGCATGCAGAAACCCTCGCCTTGCTGACAAAACCATTTTACTTTCCGAACGTGAAGTATTTTAAGTAGTTGTCATGGTAACACGATAATTTTTTAAGAATATTCTTACAAATGAAAAATCCCCTATAAATATCACTTTTAATTACAAAATTATCAATTTCCTAAACATATATATGTTAGGTATGTTATTATACGTAATATAACCTTGAATTTAAGGTAAAATTCAACCACAGACGCTTCGCAAAACGTTTTAAAATGTTCTTTTACTATAGAACTAAACTGCCTTTAATCTTTATCGATAAACTTTGAGTTCGAAGTAAAATGATTCCAAATTCTCCCATGCAAATAACTTTGCTTAGCCTTAGTATAATAAAAAGTGTAATCAATAAAGAAACACTGAAATAATACGCTGTCCTGTTTCATATTTATACACAACGATCGGCTTTTAAAGTAATTACAGTAGGTATGTTATTATACGTAATATAAGCTTCAATTTAAGGTAAAATTCAACCACAAACGCTTCGCAAAACGTTTGAAAGTGTTCTTTTAATATAGAACTAAACTGCCTTTATTGATAAACTTTGAGTTCGAAATAAAATGATTCCAAATTCTCCCATGTAAATAACTTTGCTTAGTATAATAAAAAGTGAAATCAATAAAGAAACACTGAAATAATACGCTGTCTTGTTTCATATTTTATATACGCAACGATCGGCTTTTAAAGTAATTACAGGCGAGATTACAGTATATTAAAAGCAAACAATGCATCAATATTTAAAACAAACTTACCTTCGTTAACGTCGGCACCTTTACTTCCTTCTTTTAGCAATCCTCTTGCCTTTATTTCATCAAAAATCCTTTGCAATTTACAAAATCTTGCAAAATGAAATATATTTGCAAGAAATCATCAAATCAATTTCGCTGTCGTCAATCGTCATGCAGCCGTTATAATGCCAATTTTAAATTGGACCAATCAGTGTTGGCTATTCATTACAGTCCGCTATATTATGAGATCAGTGAGGATGACCACCCACCGAAACACGCACAGTGACCCACGCCCGCGATATTTGATGAACTTTAGACTTCGCTAATGCTTCCCTTCCCCGGGTGTAAATAGCCGGGGGGAATTAGTACCCTCGCACGGCGCTTCGCGCCGCCGGCTCGGGGATTAAGACAACTTTCTTTAGATTGAAAGGTGGTGGCGAGAACTGCACAACCGTTTAGAAAAGTACTTCAAGCGTCAGTTGAGAACATAGGCGTACGGGAAGGAACGAAATTGGGGGGGGGGAGAAAGAAATTTGCCCGACTTTGCCCCCCCCCGTCGCCAAAAAAATTTCGGTCAGTGTACCATTTTAGGGGTCAAAAAATTTTTCGGACATACAAAAAATTTTCGAAACATCAAAAAAATTTTCCCAAAAATCGAACAATTAACATAATTCCCCACAAAATTGACAGAATTGTCCCATTTATTTTTATAATAACCAAATATTGCCCGACTGAGAAGCGAATATTGCCCAACTGGCTTTGTTTGCCCAACAAACTGGTGTTATTATTCGGCGAGATTTTCTTGTTTTGACTACTTTTTGCCCGACTTTTGCCCGACTTTTGTTGAACATTTGCCCGAATTTTCGACTTGTAATCTGTTTGGGGGGCAGTTGCCCCCCCCCCCTGCCCCCCGTCCCGTACGCCTATGGTTGAGAATGTTATTGGAACAAGGTCATTATGATTCAAACAATGAAAATGACAGGTATGCATGGCCATACATGCATCCAAGAGGAAAAAAAATACAAATTAACACAGCCCTCTTCATTCAATACATTTCCAATATTGTTTTTAACAGAAACCTATTGGCATTTGTGTTTATTCCCATCATACAGAAAGAGATGGACATCTTCAGGCAAACAGTCTGGAATTCGCACAGGGTTAGAAGCCAAAAAAATGCCCAAATGCCAAAAGATGTCCCAAATAATTTATATGCCTTTCCTGAAAATTATGGTGCTGACGAATGTGGTAAGTGTGAGATACTGTATGATAATCGTCACCAATACACCCTTCTGGAAAGTATGGGACTTTGGCTCTAGTGCCTTGTTTTTGTGTGACATATCAGTTAAGGCTAACATCTCAATCATGAAAACAATGCTCTATAGCAAAGGTGGCATATTTTCTGGAAGCTTGTATTACAGGTACAAGCAACAACAAAATACACATATATCATCTTATGAAAAAGATCATTAGTGAGACTTATGCACCAGTAGGCTGGCATATTTTTTTAATGAACTAATGTTCTTTCAAGGTTTGCCAGTAACACAGGAGGCAATTGATGAGGTGGCTGAAGTTTCTGGTGTCCTAACAGTTGGAGAGGATTATCTGTCACCTGCTGTTAGGGCTAAATGTGAATGTATCATTCCAGATATAAATGGTGTCAAATCTTGCAATGCTGCAGACACATTTTTATTCCTTAAAGAACATTACTATGAACAGTCAATGTGACAATTAATGTAAATGTTATAGCTGCATTCAACAAGTCATCTGGTCCATGTATTTTCATCCTTATTAGTCAAAATGTGTCAGCAGCAAAGGTAAAATCATGTAAAATGTAAATTTTATATTTCTTTTAAAACTCATTGTTTAACAATATCACCTCTTAATATTAACATGTTTTGTAGTAAAAGCAGGTACCGGTACCAGTTTGTGAGCTTTTCTACATACTTGAGAACTTTCTAGCAAAATTGTTCAGAAAGTTTGGAACACATCCTTAACTGAAATTTAAACAAACTAAGTATTTACTGTACATAATCATATACTGTACATGTATGTCCACTCTTTTTACTGATCAGGCAACCCCATCATTTTGCAGTAATCATTGCATGTGTGTCCTTTTAAAAACTCTTCTATTCCAACAGATGTGCAATTACCACAACAGAAGTAGAGTTCACTACTCTCCTCATCCATGATATTAGCTGTGGCAATTTCAGGATCATAAAGATCTAATTTTGACCCTTGTATGTCAAGCAACATAAGCTTCTTCTCTGATATATCGTAGCTGTAGTGGACTAAGCATTGTGCCTTTTCAAACAGCTCTTTGTACTCATCACTGCATCCATCATGAGGATATCTGCACTTCCCATCGTTGTTGATGTACTTAACAAAGGAACCCGGAACATACTCCTCTATAGTGGCTGGTCTGTCGTTGTATGTTGTGTAATAACAATGGTTATATTTAAAACATGATCCAGAGGCGCCGGAGAATCGATAATAGCGGGGGCAGATATTCATATATTCGTGTTCACAGACTGTAAAAACAATCGATTTCAAAAGAAATTAATTGGGCAGAACACGAATATATGAATATCTGCCCCCAATTATCGATTCTCCAGCGCCTCTGACATGATCCAAACTCACTAGGGGCTTTCAAGGCAAATTTTTTGGCAATATGCCTTGCCACGGCATGCATTTGCACTTGTTTTCTAGCGTGATCTTCAATTGAAGAACTTAATTGGACTACAATTGCATCAACTGCTTCGTGGTTGTATGTCTTTACAACCCACTGGCACTGAGTTCCACCAGTTTTGCTAGTTGCTCGAAAAGCATCTCGAAATCGGCACCTGAGGAAAACCTCTGTTTCTACAAATACATCTTGTTCCATCACATCTTGCCATTCTTGATTTTGTACATCAAATTCTTCGAACGTAAGTTTAACTTTGTTTTTATTTGTGGGTTTCACTAATTTTCCAGCTTTCAGCAGTTCAGCTATGGATACAGAAGCTGGAAATGTTGTTTGCAAGAGTGGCATACCAAGGTTGTCACATCTTTTATTTACTTGTGCTGGAAGTGATTTGACTCCAGTTGGACCATTTCTGTATCCCAAGGATACCAACTCATCAGAATCTGTTGATACAACCACATGCTCATCCTGCTCTTGCATAACAACAAACCTCACTAGATAAACCTGCAAGGTAGGAAAAGACCTTAGGGTATATCTTACTTAGAGGGTAGAAAATACTGGACATTCATTAATTACAGGGGGGTGGAAAGAGGGGTGGGGCAGATATTTTCGTGCACGGATAAAGGAGAGGAGGCAAACATTTTTTGCAAGTAGCATTTACCCCATAATGTTTAATTAGTCTACAGTCTAAATTAAAAAGTTTATCATACAAGGAAAGCAGAAAAGTGTGGGGGGGGGGGCTCTAAAAGACTCTTTCAGCATTTTCTAGCCATCCTGACACAAAAATAATCCAGGTCCTTTTTGTATAAAGCCAATGGATTGTTTCACTTTATATACACTTATAATAAGGGGTGTATCTTTTCTTATTGTTGGGTGGGGGTAGATGGTTAGGGGTGGTCAAATAAAATTCATACTATCCACAAATGGGGGGGGGGGGCAAGAAAATTTGAACATCTCATCATACTCAGAGATGGATCCAGCATGATCTGGTAGGGGAGTGCTCTGTAAATCCATCCCTGTAACAATTGCGACAATATTAAATAGACCAACTAATAAGATCGAAGAGAATATCGTGCTGTGATGGGTTATTTAATAAACCTCTGCATGGGGCAAACATTTTTCAGAGGTCCCTGTAATTTCATTAAGTTTTAATAGAGACCCCCTTGTGAGCTGGGGAGCCTGAGTAAAAATGCGCTGCCCCCTCCATGGGGGTAGGTCAACGGTCGCAAGGCTATATTATCCCCATTTTACAACATTTCGCAACGAAACTTTGTAATATTACTAATTTTGTGATGCTCTTTCAAGCTGTGATAAAATTTTTGTCTAGATCAAAATTTAGTCTATAATGCAAATGGTCCATTGGTTATTTTCCAAATTTCGGTAATCGTTCCATGTTTCGCGAACCAATATAGTAAACGTTATGTAATGGATATTATAGTGTACTGAAAAGTTAACTGGATACCTCCATACACATATATACACACCCTAACCCCTAACCCTAACCTAATACCTAACCCTAACCTATATTGGTGCGTGAAACATGGAACGATAACCCAAATTTCTTCCTTTTCGTCCGCCATCTTTGAATTTTCTTAATGTTTTTAAACATACTGCTGACCAGTAATTGTGCTGGCTATGACAACGATAAGCCGTCTCAACATTTGATTTTGAAATTTATTTTAGTTTTGCTATGAGAACAATAGGCAACGCATTTACATACCGTTTTTGATCTTAAAATGATCTGTGGTGTTACAATGACTATCATGGCGTGCAACGCGAGCCTGCGTTCAGTGTTGGCGTAATTATGAATACGTCATGTTGAAACAATGTTTGGAAAATATAGGCGAGGGGAAGCGAGGGGTTGTTGCATGCATGTATTTCTAGTTTTTAATTTACATCAACAATTTGCCCAATGAAGTTTTAAGTCCTGTGAGGCTGTTCGCGGATGACACGAAAATCTATCGCAAACTCTCGGATATTGAAAGTGATACTTCTAAAATTCTGGCTGACTTAAATCGAATGAACAAAAATCTGGCAATTAAGTTTTAACCCTGAAAAATGCGAGGTTATGAGAATAACACGCCTAAAAGATCACACAGCTGATGGGGAAAAAATTAAGGTGGTGAACAAATTTAAAGACCTGCATGGGTGTAATCATGACGAGCAACTTATCATGTAAATGATACGCAGCGGCTGATAAAGCCAATCGTATTCTAGGCCTGATCAAACGGATAGGCCCTTCCCGATTATGCTAGTAAAACTGGCATATTATGCTCACAGCAATATGCTTGTTGTTTCCTAAAATTATGCTCATTTTTCAAAATTATGCTCATTTGGTTGAAAAAAAATAAAAAATGCTTGACTTTAATTAGAAGAAATACATACAACATAAGGGCCAAGGCACAACAACATGTACTTTTCGTAAACTAAAGCTTCGTGCAAGTATTACGTGTAAATGTTAAAACTTGTACCTCAAAATAACCTGTGGCCGAGGGGTCCGACACGACCACACGAAGCGTACGAGATTTCGAAATCACGCGATTTCGAACCTGATTTCTTGATTTCTAATCTGATTTCTGTTGATTTCTAAACGGATTTCTGTTGATTTATAATGCGATTTCTTGATTTCTAACGAGATTTCTAACCTGATTTCCTGATTTCTAACCCGATTTCCTGATTTCTGTGAGTTACCGCTGTCATATAAGACTTTGGGCTCAATAATAACGAAGTTTTAGTGATTTCTGATTATCTTATATGCACTAAACTACCCAAAATTAATTGTTATAAGTACTCATTTTCTTAAGAATTATTAGTTCATGGAATAGTTTGCCTGACAGAGTTGTTGAATAACTACTTTAAACGAATTCAAAAGCCAACTCAAGCGGCATATGAACTTACTTTAATCCTGATCAGCGCGATATCAGCGCGTTTTCTCGCCCGTGTTTTATTACGCCCTGTACAAAATGGACGGCTGAGCGTGCAATGGAACGCGTTCCATTGCAGGCTCAGTAGTTTTTTTAACCAGCCAATTAATTACCACAATAAATTGTTTAAGGTTTTATATAATATTTTTCATGCCACGTTATCGACATTTTACTGAAGGGACTGTAACTGTCTCAGCCTTGTAGTCATGACAGTCCATTGATCTTTCCACTGTCTCATGTTCATGCCATCCACTGTTTCCCACGGCACTAAGTACTGGGCAGGTTGCTCCCACCTAAACACAGGAATGAAGAATAGAGAACCAAATTCAATTACCTCCTGTCCTGTAGGCCGGTGTAACGTGGTAATGCAAAGGTGTAACTTGGTAATTTCAAACCCGAAGTGCTAAGGGGCGGACCATTAGAAAAATGTTAGGGGGGGGGGAGACTTTTTAAACTTATACGAATATTTTTTTAAAATTTTTTGCTTGTGTCGATAATTTTTTTAAATATAATCCCTTGCACGAATTTTTTTTTTATTTCAACTTATAATTTGCCCTATTGAAAAGTCTCTGCACGAATTTTTTTTCAAACTTTCTTGGTGCACGAATTTTTTCTTTCTGCTTCCTCTGCGCGATTTTTTTTGCTCCCCCCCCCCATCACTTTTTTAATGGTCCGCCCTGGAATTCTGAAATATTGTTGCGGTAACTTACATAAAGTGCGCAATATACAGGGTGTATCAAAAAAAAGCGCAATCCTCGACTGAAATGTAAATTGCTAAACAAATAATAAACGAAAACGTTAAAGTTTACATCCATTTTAAAGCGTAGCCATTCAGCTTTCTAACAGTGGGTTGTTTCTTAAATTTGACTCATTGGTTCGCGGGTAATAATACTTTACGTTATTGCGATTGGAGATTAAAAAAATTGAGATGGAAAAACAAATCGTTCTCATGAAAATAACTGTTTTTTCATTAAAACAAAAAAATGTTGCATTTTATTAAATGGATTGTAACAATAAGTATAATTACGGCTTTTCTTCCACTATTTTTAACTCAGTTTGAAACTTCAAATGCGATATAATTTTGGCTTGGACCATCTAAGCTGACTGACATCAACTTGATATAATTTCTGCTTACATTACATCGCAATTCGATGACACTCTGGCTCAGACACCAGAATGTTTTGACGATTTTTAGCATTCGTTTAGGATTTTCAAACAACCTGGTCTCTTTTAAAATACTTTTAATTTGTTCTTACGTGGTTTTCCAGATGTAGTGACGACAACATTAAAGTTTAAAGAAGAAAATTCTAAAATTTAAACTGACTAAACAATAACATAGTAAACTTGCATAATTAAACTGCAACTAAAAATGATAAGTTTTACTAAATCTTTTCCTGTGCAATTATTACTAGCAGTGGAGACAAGGATAATAGTTTGTTTGAAAGAGAAAAGAACAGGCTTTGAAGTAAGCCTAAAAGCGTTTAACTAGAAATAGTATTTCGAAAGTTATAAAGCACAAAAGATGAATTGCGTTTATTTTGATACACCCTGTATAAAGAAAATGCCGGTCCAACCTTTATTCGCGGTTATATGGAAACTACCATTCACGGTTTTCTCTCAAAATACTTACAGTACTGTAATTCATGTTTTTTATTATGACTAAGAAATATGAAACAAGTAAAAATTTTATGCAAGTAAAATTTCATTTTCCATGACTTTCCATGACACTAAAATTTTCAGGATTTCCAGGCCTGGATTTTGAAATGTTGAAATTTCATGATTTCCCCAGTTTTTCTATGATGCGTACAAACTGTGTAAAATGTCATCTGCCTCCTCCGCAGGCCCTCGTTGCGTCATGGAAAGGTCACGATATGGCGAGGGCCTGCGGAATCTTGTAAAAAAAATGGCGCCGGCGTCACAAGTAAATTTCTACATAATCTTGAATATAAACAGGATATAAAAAAGCGGCGTGAAACTTGTAAATTAAAATGGCGACTCTTAGGACGTGGAAGGAAGCATTTTTTAATGATAAGGTTTGTTGTCCACACCAACGTTGCACGAATAAAACTGCCTTCTTTAACGAAAGCAGGTTCAAAACAACATTTATTCATTTTACAAGATTCCGCAGGCCCTCTCGAAATCGTGACCTTCCCATGACACAACAAGGGCCTGCGGAGGAGGCAGAAATGTCATACGGTACCACTGAAGTAGCTGAAGAAAACCTGTGGCGTTTGGTACAATCAAACTGGAAGCACTCATCTTATATACGATTAAATTAAAACCGGAAAAACGTATATTGCCGATAAAAGGCAAAAAAAATATTGCCGAGTCCGGTAGCAGAGATAAAAGGCACATGCAAAAACCGTTTTATACCCTCATGTTTCGGGAACAATGGGGGTCTAGGCTAAAGAGAAACATATAAGCATGCGCGGAACATGATGCTACCCAAAAGCCATGGAAAGAGAAAATATGTACTTGAATCTGTTGAAAAAGATTTCTAGAGTCAGCGACAGTAAAAAGTGGGACACTTACATTAGTTAGATTTCTATAATAGCC